CATATTATGTGTGCATATGTATACACATTCATAGATATTATTATACAAAAACAGAAGGATTTACTGATTTGTTGGATGAGGGATGTAAGAAAAAAGGAATTAAGAATGCTCCAGAGTTTCTGACCTCAGCTGGGACAAGGCAATGTTTCTATTTTATAAATAAAGAAAGTGAACCACCGAAGAGTTAAAAGACCTGTCTCTAAAGTCACACCAAAAAAGTGGCAGAGTACCTACACACTATGTCCCTGTGACCATTAACTCTTAATCACTATGTTGTTATTCATCTAAAGAGCTTCAATATGTTACTATGCGCCTCCTATTGCAGCATAAACAAAAGGAACTCATGACCACTAAACCAGCATTACAGAAAATACTCAAAAGGAATCTACATACAGAAGATGAAGCAAGAAAAACACAACCATGAGAGCATGGGAAAGAATAAATCTTAGAAGAATGGAAAAGCAAATGAGAATTAGGAAAGAATCTAAGATAACTAATTCAGTAAACCATCAAACCTCTAAAATAAAGAAGAAAGAAATGAACACTGATTATTCAATACAACTAGAAGGAAAACAACAAAATGACAAGAACTAGCAGATATTTTTCTATAAGAACCTTCGATTTAAATGTTTAATTCTCTAAAAGATGCGGACTACCTGACTACAGTACAATACTTTAAAAACAAGACCCAACTATTGAAAAATTATGTGCCAATAAATTGGAAAATATAGAAATGAACAAATTTCTAGACACATATGGCCAATTACAGTTGAACCAAGGGGGTATAAAAACCTAACAGATGAATAAGAACCACTGAGCTTTTTGTTAGTTACTTTTCTCTCGTTGCTGAGACAAAATACCTGACACCCAAAGTTAAAGGGGGAAACGTTTATTTGGCTTACAGTTTGTAGAGTTTTCAGTCCATAATCAGCTGGCTCCCAGGCAAGGTGGCAGAGGGGTAAAACAGTTCATGGCATCGAAAGACCACAAAAGCAACAAGAGACCTTAATACTCTTTCTGCCCCTTTTATCTTATTCAGACTACTTAGGGCAGGTAGCACTCACACCCTTAATCCTAGTGCCCTTGGGTCTAGCCCTACCACAATCAATCACAAACTTTAGATTTAGCTACCTCCAAAATAACCTATGACCATATGAGGCTTTGGGGGGACATCTAGATACAAACTATAACAAGCTTGAAACAGTAATAAAAGATATTAGTATAAACAATGGCTTCCTGAACAGGACTCCAATAGCTCAGGAAATAATAGCAAAAATTAACAAGTGGAATTATATCAGATTTTAAATCTTCTGCACAACAGCCGGGAATTTAGCTCAGTGGTTCAACCACCTGCCTTGCAAGCATAAGGTCCCAAGTTCAATCCCTAGTACGAAAACAAAAACAAAAACAAAGAAATAAAATCTTCTGCATAACAAAGGAAACAACAGGATAAAAAGACAGTTTACAGAATGGAAGATAGTCTTTTTCAGCTATTCATTTGACAGTTAATGTCCAGAATATATAAAGAACTCAAAACATTCAACACCAAAAGAACAGGCAATCCAATCAATAAATGGGCACATGAGCAGGAATACACATTTCTCAAAAAAAGTACCAAGGGTCAATAATTATATGAAAAATATGCAATGTCTTTATGCACCAGGGAAATGAAAATCAAAACTACACTGAGAGTCTGTCTCACCCTAGACACTATGACTATCAACAAAACCAAAAATAAGAAATGCAGGCAAAGATGATGGGGGAAAATTAGTTAATTAGTTAATTAGTAAAGCCATTATGGAAACAATATGGAGATTCATCAAAAAATAAAAATTACCATATGGTTCAGCTATACCCCGTCTTAAGTTTTTTACCGAAAGAACTCAAAGTCAGTATACAAAAGAGATACTTGCATACCCATGTTTATTATGGCACTGTTCACAACAGCCAAGTTACAGAATCAGTCTAGATGCACATCAGCACATAAAAGGATAAAGAAAATTTGTATGTATACAAAGAAGTACTATTCAGCCATAAAGAAGAATAAAATCATGTGATTTGCAGGAAAATGAATGAACCTGAAGACTATGATGTTAAACAAAATAAACCTAATTCAGAAAGACAAGTACCAAATTTTTCTTTCATATGGATTCTAGAAAAACAAAAAAGATGACATGAAAGAAGAATGAGAAGAACTAGGGAAGAGTAAGAGCCCAGGGATCTGAGGATAAAGAAAGTAAGAGGGAGAGTGAATGCAATGGAAGTACATTATTTGCATGTATGCAGATATCACAAAGAAACACTATCTTGTTCAATTAATATGTGCTGGGGTGTAGCTCAGTAGAAGAGTGCTTACCTATCAGGTACAACACCCTGGGTTGGAACCTCAGCACCACAAAAAACGAATAATAATAATAAATAAATTTTAAACCTTAAGAAAGTAATTAAAGATCTTTAAAAATATACTCCCTCAGGGCCGGGTATTTAGCTCAGTGGTTCTGGCGCCTGCCTTTCAAGTACAAGGTCCCGAGTTCAATCCCCGGTACCAAAAAAAAAAAAAAAAAAAAAAAAAAAAAATATATATATATATATATATATTCCTCACATGTAGTTTTATGCTACCTACACCTTGTTTAAAAAAACTCAGTTATCATTCTTCAGTCAATGTTCTAGAATTTAAATAATGCAGAAAAATTTAAATTATACTTTATTAATGTATGGACTTAAACTAATTTATAAGGGGGGTATGGGCCAGAAGACAAATAAAACATTTTTTTAAGCAACCGATAGGCTATATAGCCCTTCTACTTCATTCCAATCTGATTTTTCTAGTTACTGAATTAGAAAATTAATTCTGACAGATTTTTGGACATTAGTTTCAACTCTCAAAATATCACAAAATATAACCAGATGCACTGAGGACTGAACCAAAAATTGTCACTATCTCCTACAATAGTGGATATACCTGTTTCATACCCTCTGCAAACCCTATTTCCTATCTTCCTACTCCTATTCTAATCCTTATATACATTATGTAGAAATTTATCCAAAGTTAATTCATAATGGTGAACTCCAAATATAGTGAGAACATTGTATTTTACTATTAACAACTATTCACATAGCTAGTTATGTGTGGCTACATTTTATCTTCCAAAAACATCAAGCTCAAAACAAGGATAGTCATACATGATAAAGTTCATATTTATTTACAATTTCTAAAGGAAATACAGATGAATTTGAACCACCAGTTCAAACACCTTCATTTAAAAGCATGCCCGTGATCATTCAGCAGGTGGAGGAAAAAAAAATCTATAACATACAAAATACACTATTCTGATGTGGGCAAGAGATGTAACAATATAATAGGAACAAGTTTTTAACTAGAAAAGAACATGCAAACTCATGCCTTTATTTGTCACTAGAAATAGTTTGAGAACTCAAGCTTTACAGTCAACCCCAGAGTCTGCAAACATATCTTAAGCTTTTGAAAATTTGAAGCACAAAGACTCTTCTTCTAATATCTTACTTTAAAGTAGTCGAAACAAATTTCCTGTATTATTTTTTGGAGAATTGGTATAAATGTTTACTTCAATTAAATGTTAGAAATATGGTGTGGTAGAAAAGAAACAAAGCCTTTAGAGTCAGAGAGACAAGGGTTCAAATCAAATATCCGCTCTGTGGTGGTGAACCTACAGCATGTGTGCTGCAGCGGGCGGTTTGAAAGCTCCAAAAGGTTCATCATCACTGGTCTAGGTCGTTACTTAACCTTTGACAAGTCAAGTTCTCTGAGGCTTTGACTTTTCATCAGTTCCCAAATGCAAGGCTGCAAAGATGTATGCAACAGGACAGCACAACACTCCAGTCTACTACAGCTTCACTCTCTCCACATATTTATACCTTTTGAAATGACCTTGCTATACTGTTCAGGTATTGGTTGTCGGTCTCCCCTGACAGGAGTATAAGCACTACAAAGGCAGGCACTTTGGCCCATGCTCTACCCTCTGCAAATACAAAGTCCAAGTAATTGGAAAGTTTCCTAATATCAAGGAAACTGAAAAGTATGTTTTTTGGGGGGGTTTGGAGGTATGTTTTTGTTTTCTGTTCTTAGTTTTTTGATACAGGGTCTCACTGTGTAGTTCAGGCCGGTCTTAAACTCATAGCAATCCTCCTGCCTCAGCCTCCTGAATACTGGAATTACAGGTGTACACCACCTTACCTGGTTTAAAAAATGTTTTTAAAAGACTAATTCATGGGATGGGGATTTAGCTCAATGGTTCCAGCGCCTGCTTTGAAAGCTTAAGGTCCCGAGTTTGATCCCCCATACCAAAAACAAAAAAGACTAATTCATACAAAACATTCAACCTCAACTTCAGTAGCATGTATCCTTTTGTTTGGAAAAGGAAGAACAAATGTAATCAGTAAATACTTCAATTAAAATAGCAGACTACTTCAGCCATATCTCCTAAGGCAGTCAATCAAAATAAGCCAGACAGGGCCAGGGATTTAGCTCAGTGGTTCCGCCGCTTGCAGGGCAGGCGCAAGGACCCAAGTTCGATCTCCAAGTTCGATCTCCGGTACCAAAAAAACAAAAAACAAAATAAGCCAGGCACAAGCACTTTCAATATAAACAACAGTATTTATAGATGACCAGATGGAACACCACACTGATACAATCTAAGCCAGGCAATCTTACCATAGCTAAAGGTTAAGGCAGTTATTTCAGCATTACAGGAAGAGAAACAAATACTACCTCTAGACAGGTGTGATAATGCACCCCTGTAATCCCAGCACCCCTGTAATCCCAGCAGGAGGACTGTTGCAAGTTCAAGCCCACCCTGGGCTACACAGTGAGTTCAAGGCCAGTGTGAACTATATAGGGAAATCCTGTCTCAAAAGTCAAACAAACAAAATAACAAGGACAAAAATAATATCACATATGACCATCTGTTTTATTAATCCAGCTTCTAGGCACACCGTCCCATACCTCGAATTTACTTTACCTGTATGAATTAATATCTGCAAACATTCTATTGAGTTGTGATAAGCTGCTTCATGAATTGGCATCCATCCTCTGTTATCAGCAACATCAATGCTTCGGCCCTTTTTCAGCAACTTCCTTAAGATTTTAACATTGTCTTCCCTGACAGCAAGTCCAACCGTAGAGCATGTATCTGAGTAAGCCTCTGTAAAATCCATTATTTTTTTTGACCAACCTACAAAAAAAGAAAAATTATGTGACAGTCAATAAAACAGCACTGCAACTCCTAGAGATTAGCAGGTCACAGTGGCCTGTCCAGTATCTCTCCTGATTGCAGAGAAATGGGCTATTCTGCCACAGATTCTGCTACAGCTTAAACCAGGAGGTCTCTCAAATCAGTATTTCTTGGAATATTCCTATTTTTAAAAAGGGAATTTTAAGTGTCCTTTGCTCCTCTGGAAATGTCTGAGAAGCTCTTTCCAGAAGGCTTCTGCTTGAGTTTCTACCCCACCAAAATATACTCTTTGGAGCTCGGTTGATAAGAGTGCAAAACACCTCTAGTTAATCCCACGTGCGTGCTCCTCCGCAGAGAGGTGACGTAACAACCAAAAAAGCTCCATTTCCATGTATAGGCCTCTATTTTAAACCCAAAAGCTAAAAAAGAGGAGTAAAGGATGTTTATTGACAACTAATTAGTCATTCTAGTTTGCCTACCCCAGAAGAACTAAACACTCAGATACTCCACCCTTAATGAAATAGTCCGCTGACTGAATACTATACTGAAACCAACAAAGAGTGCCACAAAGTGATGAGCCCAGCTTTCCTACACCAGCCCAGAAAGTTTACAGCATTTCTGTCCTCCTCCTCCCCCTCCCCTCCCCCGCCTCCTCCTCTCCCCGCAATGCTCACTCTTCAAGTTCCCCTGCAGTCAGGGTCCAGGATAGCTCTCAGTATATAACTTTCACAAAGATAATTTGTTAGTTTCACTATGAAGCACGTTGGGCTGAGATTCTGGATGCTCTGGAAAATAATGATTTCCTAAAAGAGCAGTCTTCTCAATAATATGCCAATTTCACTTTTGAGTTTTTCTAATAAGCTTAGGAGGTGGTTTGGGAAACACCAACATGTCTTGCCCAATATAGGTGAAAAACATTCCAGAAATATACTCTAACTAATTTATCTGGAAAAGGAAGGTTTGAGGAAAGAGGTTAAAAGAAAGAATGTAACACTGCCCATAGTAAATTCAAACTTATCCATGTCTCCTTTAAATGTAAAGCCACAAATACAAAAGTTGACTCTACAGGAGGCCAAACAGCTGATGGTAGCTCCGGATGTGACTAAGCAACTGGCTCATTACTAGAGTAAGTCAAAACATTTATTTACTAAACCTTTATTCAGTTAGCAGTTACTTATTAAGCACCAACTAGATGATCAGTAATGGGGAATATATAAAGATGACACTAATACAGATTCTATCTCAAGTTTTTTACACTCTCATAGAAATGATAAACATATATATAATTCAAGGTAGAAAATGGAAAGTGCCATAGGGGAGTGTCAATTAAGAGCCATAAAAATCAAAGGAGAACCTGCTTCTGTGATAAACGAGAGTTGTGCCTTAAAAGATAGGGTAGATTTGAAAATGGCACAATGGGCAGAAGAGCATTTCTAGGCAGAAAGAAAGCCATAACCAAAAAGCTGGAGACGTATAATATGTAAGAATAAGTAAGGCACAGTGAATACAAAACAGTTCATCTGGCAGAAGGATTAGGTAAACAACAAAGAACAGCAGGAAAATGAGGTTACAGAAGTCGCTTAAAGCCAAATTTCAGAAGATCTTAAATGTTAAACTATAATTTTTTGAGCCACGCTAACCTCTAGCCAAGACAATTTACATGTAAGTTTTACAAAACAACAAATTACACACTTTACAGCAATTTATAAATATGTTCATTTATAAGAAAACTTTTTCCTAAAGGAAAAAATGGAAACAAAGTCTTTGTAAATAGGGAGGGGTGGAGGGGTTGAAGGGAGGGCAAGGGAATGGGGAAAAATAAGAACCAAGGTACACCATGTAAAGGTACAAATTCTCAATGATTAATGTCATCATATTGTATAACTAAAATGTACTAAAAAACTTAATGAATAAAAAGAAAACTTTTTCCTATATTGGAAGCACACATTCAAAGAAAACCACTTTAAAAACACCATTTCTGTAAAAATAAGTATGATTCCTTTTCCAAATTTTACTGCCTTTTCTCTTAGTTGCAAATAATGTTGCTGGTCCCAGGATAATAGTTACTAATCTGGGGAAAATATTGGAACTGGTAACATCTTTGAGCTTAAGGGAAGGGGAGGCCAAAAGAAATGTGCTGTGACAGAAGAATCATTCCTTTCAACTCGTAATACCAACTACTGAACATAAACTGTTTATGATACGATATCCCCTTTTACAAAAAGACTAAACGGTAACAGTGAGTCAAGCAAATGTGACACAGGGAGTTGGGGAGTAGCTCCGTAGAAAGCTTGCCAACACGCTGGGCCCCGAAGAAATGACAGGCTCCCCAGCTTGTTTCCAAAGCTCCCATGAGCCTCAAGTTAAGAATCTTGCATCCTCTTTTCTGAAGGGGCTGCAGAGATAACTAAAATTACATGAACTGTTGCGTGTTAAGTTCAGATAGGTCAACAGTTTCCTGTGAAGTAACAGTTACTGTGAACTGCTCTGACCTGCAAGGCCAGGAGCAGGTTTAAATCCACGAAACCAGAGTGGATCGTCCTCGGACCACGGTCATAGAGGCAAACGTCAGATCCAAAGCCGCCCGACTCTGTAAGGCCCGGGACACACCGGACAGCCAAGGTTCCCAGGGTTGCAGAAGAGCCCGCGGATCCCTATCTGCACAGTAACTGAAGCCTGGCTGTTCAAGGACTAACGCTCTCCGGCGACTGCCCCAGCCCCACGGTGCCTTGCGCCGCGCCTGCGCACAGCAGCCGCCCCGTTCGCGTCCCTCCGTCAGGGAAGCGGCGGTGCCCGAGTCCACTACTTCGGTCGTCTGCCTGGAAGGCGGCCGCCCTTCGGGCGCCGCGCCGAAAGCGCACCCACGAGGCAGGAAAGATGTGGGTGTTTGGTTACGGGTCCCTGATCTGGAAGGTGGATTTCCCCTACCAGGACAGGCTGGTCGGATACATCACGAACTATAGCCGACGCTTCTGGCAGGGTAGCACCGACCACCGAGGGGTCCCGGGCAAGGTAAGCACCCCGTGCGCCGCAGGGACCCCCCCGGTCCGGGTAACACGGCAATATCCATGCATCGGCCGCAGCCCCTAACCCACACCTCTCCCCCACCAGCGCACTCCTGAAGCCGCTTCAGATGCCGGTAGTTTCTAAGGGCGGCAAAAAGCACGGCACAAGCTCCCATGAGTCTGATGAGCCGGAGGGGACAACCTCAGCCAGAAACGAACTGTGATGGGAAATAATTTTCATGTCACCATGGAGGCGAAATACTAAAATTAACCTGCAAATTTAGAGCCCTAGCAACTAAATGTTAGTTCTGCTAAAGTGGTTTGAGTTTAAATACGGTTTTATTTATGACACCTAAGATCACGGAAGAACTACTTTCCAAATTTATCTCAGGTTTACTAAGGTGACATTGATAATTTTATCAGCTACTAACAAAATTAAATGAAGTTATCAGTTTGTTATGAGTAACTACCAAACTAGCATTATTTAATGCTTCTTTCTCGATAGTTCTAAATTATAAATGTTAAATATGTTCTTTGATCTATTTTTCAGTCATACAAAGACGTTCATTCTTAATATATGGGTTCCGAGATTTAACAGCAACTCACTGTTTATGCTAATCAGTCTTCTATTGGCTGCAAAACTACTAATCACCGAAGAAAACTGAGGGCTAGCGCGAGCGAGGCCTAGGGTATTATCCCCAGTACCTCGAAAGAAGAGTTTGGGTTAACTAGTAACTCGGATAACTTGGGACACTTGTTATGGCCTTTTTTTTTTTTTTTTTTTTTTTTGAGACAGGGTCTCACTTTGTAGTTCAGCCTGGCCTTGAACTCACTATGTAGCCCAGGCTGGCCTTGAACTCGAGGTGAACTCCTTCTGCCTCAGCCTCCTGAGTGCTGGGATTATAGGTGTGCAACACGAGGCCCAGCATGGCATGGCTAATCTTTTAGAGGAACACATTTTTCTTGCTTGTATGTTCTCTAAAGATTTCTATGAGCTTGATTATTGTTTTTAAAATAGAAATTAATATTAGCCCAAAAACATGATGTCTAAAATACTGGAATCAGATGCAGGCAGAGAGTAGGGTTAATTCCAGAGAAATACCTGCAGTCATGGAAAGGGAAAGAAATTAGGATTCTAAAATTGTTTGCACCTACTCATAAAGACATATGATTTGAAATCATAAAAAGATTCTACCTCAGCTAGAGTTGGTCAATTAAGAATCTGTCTGTCAAAGGACTACAATCTAGAATATATAAAGAATTGAAAAAAATCAGACCCCCCAAATTCAAAGACCCAATTCAAAAGTGGGCATCTGAAATGAACAGACATCTCTCAGAAAAAGAAGTTAAACCAGCAAACAAATATATGAAAAAATGTTCAACATCACTCATCATTCAAGAGAAGCAGATGAAAACAACATTGAGATTCCACCTCACCCCACAAAGAATGGCTGCTATCAAGAAATCAACACATAACAAATGCTGGTGGGGTTGTGGGGAGAAAGGAACCCTTCTCCATTGTTGGTGGAGTACAGATTGGTGAAACCACTGTGGAAGTCAGTATGGAGATACCTCAAAGAACTAGGACTAGAGGTCCCATTTAACCCAGCTATTCCCCTGCTGGGTATATTCCCAAAAGAATTAAAAGAATCATACCACAGCAATATATGTGCACCCATGTTCATACAGCACAGCTTGTAATAGCTTTGGAAGCAGCCCAAGTGCCCATCAACTGGAAACTGGATAAAGAAAATGTGGTTTTTTCATAAAATGGAGTACTACTCAGCCATAAAGAATGAAAAACTAGAGTCATTTATAGCTAAATGGAGCATTATCGAGGCCATACTCTTAAGTGAAATAAATAGGACACACATGTAAATACCAAATAGTTTCTCTTGTGTGAGAAACTGATAGTGTAAACAAGGGTTAAAATGATTAAAATGAATAATTGATAATTTCAAATAGGAAAAAAGGTCCAAAGACGAAGGAGTGAAGGGAGGGGAAGGGGAAAAGAAAAGAGGGAAAGGAAAAACTATGAGAAAAGAAAAAAAATGGAAATAATGTCTTTGCAAATAGGGAAGGGTGGAGGGCGTGAAGGGCACAAAGGTAATGGGGAAAAAAATAAGAACCAAGATATATCATGTACAGGTACAAACACCCAATGATAAATGTAAACAAATTGTATACCTAAAATGTACCAATAAAAGAAAAAAAAAAAAAAAAAGAATCTCTGTAACATGAGACTATACAGACCTATGGAACAGGACAGAATGACTTGAACAAGGGGATGTGTCTTAGCCCTGATACATTAGCCAAGAGAAACATCATGGCCAAAGTATCTCCAAGAGCAAACATTATTCAAGACTCTAAAGAACTAAGCTAAATAAAAGGCCTTTTGAGTTGTTTTGAAATGAACACTTAAAACTGCCATTCTGAAAAGAAAGCTTTAGCCCAACCTCCCATTTTAATGACCAAGTATTAATATTAAATGTGTGGTTATAATAGCTTATTTTACTATTCTTGGCTTAACCAAAATGGATGTTTGTTACATAGCACGTTGAGATACTAATGCTTTCAGACAGATAAGTTGTCTAATTAATACAACAATCCATGAGTCTTTAAAAGGACAAGGGAATGCAAAAGCCAGTATCTTTTTGTACTTAAATTTACTGATATATAGGAAAGGAGAGTTGGGGAGAGGGGCTGCACTAACAGCTTTACACTTTTATTTATAGACTCCATCTTAGCAAATTAAATGGAAAAGTAATACTAAACATTTTGCAAGTATAGGGTTGTTAAAAACTAGAAATAACATCAAATTTTTTATTTCATGTTTTTTATTAAAATATATTTCCAGCTTTATATAAACATTAACTATCTGACAAACAAGAATACAAAGTCTACAGAAATATCCAGCAAATTAGAATTACTCAGATACTGTTTAGGACCCAAGTTGTTTTTTACAGCAACATATACTCAAATGAGTCATCAGAAAGGCCTCATCTATAATACATAAATATTACACTCATTTCCCCATAATGCAAGAGGATATGTGTGGAAAAAAACTGAACCTAGATGATTTATTAAATTATGCTTGCTTTGTAGCTTCAAGCATCTCATTTATATATCACAAAATTGGCAGTTTCTCACCAAAATAAGGATTTTATTTAAATATGAAAGTTTTGCACAGACTAAATATATTACTTCGAAAACGGAGATACTTTAATACAAGAGATGTGAACAGAAACATTACTAATTGTCCAATGAAACACCCACCATGATTCTTGTTTTCCATCCTTCTCTAGTATCAGTCTGAAAGATCTCTTCAATTTCACTGCCCCTTCCCACAAAACAATTTAAGTTTTACAAATTCATAGTTTCTCAATAACATCTATTTTTAAGGACAGAGCAGTCATAAAATTTTATTTTTTCTCCTTAAAATAATTCCCCACATATTCCTTGTCTTCTTACTGCACCTGCCACCACCCAAATCCAAGACTTTACTATCCCTCTTCTTCCTTTCAACAATTACAACTAAGCACTTACATATATATAGGAGACAACTATGTAAACAAAACTACTTGGTAAGTGCTAGAAAAGAAATGAATAAAGGGAGCAGTGAGAGTTTAGGAGTTGTTAAATTGGCCTCGGGAGTGAGCCAAAATTCTGAGGAAGTGGACAGGTAATAAGCAAGGTAAATAAAAGGGGGAAGGGCATTCAATAGTGGGCACCAGTGTATTCAAAGACAGGAATATTTTTAAGAATCATTTAATAAATCAGTACATCTTCAGAAGAAATGAGGTTTATAGAAATGGATTCCTTAGCATAACTTATGCTAATGAATTTTAACTTTATCCTGTAGAATACCCTAACCCTGAAAAATTCAGTCAAGAAGTCATTTCAAGGGGCCGGGGATTTAGCTCAGTGGTTTCGCCACCTGCTGCACAAGCGCAAGGACCTGAGTTCAATCCCCAGTGCCCCCCCCCAAAAAAAGTCATTTCTGGGCACATACAGAAAACAAACTAGAGGGAAAAATTAGAGGCAGGCAGAGGAATCTCTAATGAGGTTACTAAAGGATAAAGAGGAACCATATTTCAAAAGGCAGAACTATCAAGAACTGTAATTATTTATAAAGTGAAGACAAAAAGGAAATAGTAATAAAGATGACACAAATTGAATGAATTAGGCTCACTATGCAAACACGGGGCATACATGTAGGTAAAACTGTGACTTGCAACTTGACATCCTTACTAACGTTAACATGCCAGTAGACACATAACCTTTGGTACTAGGTAGTAATTTAATAAAGCAAGCTGGTAATCACTGGTTTAAGTCACCTCTGTGACTAAAATTATGAAATGTTCCAATTCTGGCTTTTGTCTAAGGGTTTCAATTTATAAACAAAGATTCTTTTTTCCAGCATCTGAAAAAAAACAAATAAAATTTCTTTTGGCTTGATAAAATCTCATTTCAAACTCAAGTAATGATACAAAGTTAAAATTGCTTGTGTTAAAACCAAAGCAGAGGGCCAAGATTTAGCTCGGTGGCACCATGCCAGTGCAAGGTCCTGAGTTCAATCCCCAGTACCAGAAAAAAAAAACCCAAAGTGGAAAAATTAAATTGCCTTATAATACAGGTAGTGTAACTGTCCCATATGAGAGAATAAGTTCCAATATTAACCTGTCAGGGCAAGGCAAATTCATTTGTGAATATAAATGGGATGCCCACCTTGAAGCACCAATTGGTATATACTGACCATAGAGAAGGGTAAAAACACTTCAGAACTCAGGTGTGTAAATCACTCTTTCACTCTCAACTTGAGACCTCTTGGTATATTCTGGTAGCAGTGGTGCTCAGAATATGAACTCCAAAACAGTGTAACAGGAATCACCTTGGATATTGTGACAAATGCATATTTTCAGGCTCCAGACCTAAATAATCAAAACCCTGGAGGTATGGCCTAGCAGTGTGTTTATCAACTCCTCCAGGTAATTCGATCAGACTTTGAAAATCACTTCCTTATATATAGGAATACACCCCGAATGGTTTTTTCCCTCTAATAAAACTGTTAACCTTTTTTCCCAAGAGGAAAACCAGAACTTTTATTTATAATTGATGCTTCCATTTGCCTTTTATTTTATCTGAGCCTTAGTCACTGCTGTATTTTTTAATGTATCTATTTCTTGGGGGGGGGGGTTAATAGTAGGTAAATGTAATGAGTAATAGGAACGAGGAATAAGAATAGCTCCTGAGAGAGAAGAGGGGTCCCTAATGGGTTGCCCTAATGTATCTAGAAAAGCCGCTGAAGTTTGGATAAGGTAGATTCTCTTAATTCATCTTAAACTTTATCATAAAAATAAGTACTTTTTTAAAAAGTGCCTCTTCGGGGATTTAGCACAATGGTTCCGCCACTTACCTCACAAGCGGAAGGTCCCAAGTTCAATCCCCGGTACCAAAAAAAAAAAAGGTGCCTCTTAGAGCAAATGTAAAATATTCCATGCTAACAATAAGTCATAATACTCACTGTACTTTACTTCAGAAAAAAAAACCTATTTTTGTCTTTTTTTAAACAGCCTGGAAGAGTTGTGACTCTTGTTGAAGATCCTGGGGTACGGTATAATTATTCCTTTTCATATAGCCTTTAATAGTATGAAATGTTGAGATATTTCATTTTAATAATCAGTGAAATTTTATTAATAGTCATCATAGACGATCTGAACTACACTGGAAAGTCTAGAACTCTTCTCTATTTGTTTAGGGCTTTTTCCCCCCTTGTTTGTGGATGAGCAAGTGGGAAAAGTTAAAATGCAAAATGCAACGTAACAACAGCTAAATGACATTACTCTGCCTTTTGTGGACTATTTAAAATGAGTTTACACTGGCTGGGGATTTAGCTCAGTGGTTCCGTCGCTTGCCCCGCAAGCACAAAGACCAGAGTTTGATCTCCGGTACCAAATATATATATATATATAACATAACATAAATAAAATAAAATAAAATAAAATAAAATAAAATAAAATGAGTTTGCTGATTGACATTAATGGAAGTAGCCCCTAGATAACCAGGCTACCACTGAGAATCAAATGGAACCCCAAAAGCTCTCTTCACATTTGCAGAAGTCTAATATCCTCACCATAAAACTAAAGTCAGGAATTCTCACTTTCTATACTGCCTAATTTTATTAATAGAACTCGTATTTTTTAAACAGGCATGAAGCACTAGGAAACATATATTAATTGACAAGCCTCGGTTTCTTTTTTTTTTTTTTTTTTTTCCCTATGCGCTCACTACTAGGGATTCAACCTAGAGCCTTCACACTGAGTTACACCCCCAGCCCTTTTTACTCTGAGACAGGGTCTCACTGAGTTGCCCCAGCTGAGCTCAAACTTGGAATCCTCCTGCCTCAGTCACCCAAAGTCCTGGAATTACAGGTGTGCACCACCATGCCTGGCTCTTGGTTTCTTAAATATTTTTAACCATTTTATTTGTGTACAGATTTAAATTTTTATATTGTGAAATTAAAGATGTAACTTTGGACAAGACTTTGATACACAAAAATCAAGCAGCTAGCAATAACAGATTAATAATGGTATAGATTAAATGTTTTTATAGCTTTAAATTAGTTACTATAACTCCTACTCAAACAGTTAAACAAATGACACTCTCTAGAATTTCTTGGGGTTTTGTTTGCTTCTATATCATTTCATAATGACCACATGAAAACAGTATTTTTTCTTTTCAGCCCCATTAGTTTAGATTTTTGTTAACATTGTTCTTTATTTTTTGAGATAAGATCTTGCTACATAGCCCAGGCTGGCTTCCAACTTGCAATCCTCCTGCTTCGGTCTTCCAAGTGCTAGGATTGCAGGCATGTGCCACCACCCTTGAGTAATTTAAAAATTTTCTGAAAGATAAATATGTTGTATTTATGACAAAATATTATTCAGAATAAAAATTTTAAATGATTTCCTTCACTGTTTAGTATGTACCTCCTCAATGCATTTTAAGTGAAGCAAAACTGCATTTATTTCAAAGACTATGGAAGGTATTTTCTTAGACCAGTATAACCTAGCTTCACTATTTCTATTAGCCTTGTAAATAATAAATAATGTATTCTTATATTTCAACAGGGATGTGTATGGGGTGTTGCTTATAAACTCCCAGTAGGAAAAGAAGACGAAGTAAAAGCATCCCTTGACTTCAGAGAGAAAGGAGGCTACAGAACCACAACAGTCACTTTTTATCCAAAAGATCCCACAACAAAACCATTCAGTGTGTTGCTATATGTTGGAACATGTGATAATCCTAATTATCTTGGTCCAGCACCTCTGGAAGACATTGCTGAACAAATTTTTAATGCAGCTGGTCCAAGTGGAAGAAATACAGAATATCTTTTTGAACTTGCAAATTCTATCAGAAGCCTCATCCCAGAAGATGCAGATGAGCACCTTTTCTCTTTGGAAAAATTAGTGAAGGAACGTTTAGAAGAAAAGTAGAACCTCATTTGCACATAAAGACCTAATAACTGAATTTGCCGAACAAGCAAAGCTTTCTGTCTTCAGAGAGTAACTTCAGTGCACAATGGCAATGTGTTTTGGAAATGTGTTTTCTTGAAGATATTTTTAATGTTCTAGTCAGGACATCATCTAGCTTTATAGTTTAATTGCAAGTGTCCTGAAATACACTTAGAAGATTGGCATATAGAAAAAGAAGAGGCCTGGGTAGCTCAGTGGTTCTGCCACCTGCCTCTCAAGTACACGGACCCATGTTTGATCCCTGGTACCAAAAAAAAGAAAAAGAAGAAAATTCAAGTTTTAATAATATGAATTCCTAACTATGTGATATTAAACACTTGTTCATTATAAGTGAGTTCTTTAGAAATATACAGAAGGGGACTCAGTTAAGTTTGTGTTTTTATCAGAATAAAAATACTACTAAATTTATAGAGAATTAAACCCAAAAATGTAAAATTTATACCTTCAAGATTTTCCTATAACATTTATAAACACAGTTTAAAATACAAACTTAAAATGTGTAGTTAGAAATATATGGTTGGGCTGGGGATTTCGCTCAGTGGTTCTGCTGCCTGCCTTGCAAGCACAAGGACCCAAGTTTGATCCCCGGTACCAAAAAAAAAAAGAAAGAAATATATGGCAGTATAGACAAGATTTCAGTCTTGATTTTGAATTTTCCTAAGGTATTACATAAGACTGGTTTTTTCCCAGTACTGGGGATGGAACTCAGGAGCTTGTGCTTGGTGAGGCAGGCGCGGTGCCACTGAGCTAAATCCCCAGCCAATAAGACTTTCAAATTTAGGCCAAAAAATGGAACTGTGTAATACAAAAATTTCCTTGGAATGATAATGTGCTGTATGTCTCTTTTTTTTTTTTTTTGGTACATCTCCTTTTTTGATGAAATGCATTGTGCTACATAAAAAAAAATTAAAGAGCACAAATTACATTGTACAAATCACATCCACACTAATGACAGCACCATTCACTTTGTTTTATCTTATAGTAAATCTAAAAAAATGTGATTTCTGACAAGGATTAACAGAACCATAGGTAATGAAAGTTTTACATTTGAACAGCTGCTATAATTTTTAAAGTAAAAAATAGCATTCCCTGATTATGTGCTATAGTTTTTTTTCTTTCTTACACCTTGTCACCTAAAAGTATAAACTTTTTATATTATACTCAGGAATATAGGAAACAAATACTTAAATTACTAACTCATGAATAGCCTTGATTCAAGCTAATCAGATTACTCCTGATTGTGATTTTTTTCTTTCTCAACAGGACGTAAGGTCTCTCTAGAATCTTTCAAAATTAAAGAATTTTAATGTTAAATCTAATATGAAACTTATTAAAACTTAAAGCCCAGGGGTGCCTAATAATTGGTACAAAAGCTTTTCATATAAAACTGTCCTGTGTAGTAGGAACACTTGTCCTTTTCTTATTTTTCCGTTAGCCCCTTCCTTAGTAATTTACTCAGCTATCTACTTTAAATATTTGTCAACTGTTTAAATATTTAGTTTTCCAGAAGGCATTTCACTTGCCTAGTACTACAGACAGTACTAAATATTTACTGAGAAATCTCATAAGGATGCACTAGGCACTTTACAATACAGAGGCATATGTCCCCATTTTGGGGGTAACTCCTCTGAGCTTGCTTCCATAGTAATCTGCACATTTACACATTTAACAAATGGCAGAAATCCAGGTCTCTCTCATTTCACAGGACAAGATCCTTCTACAATATCCTTAACCACAACTTTACCCTGGAAGTTTCCCCCAGGAGAAAACAAGATTAATGCTTTTCTGTAAATGAAATAGTATGTAACTTGCTACATAAAGATGTTAAGGGTACTAGCCAGGTGTTCACTTTTTTTAGAAATTCAATAAAATATGAATTTAAACTCTACATTTATTTTTGTTTGCTTGTTTGAGACAGTCTCACTGTAGTTCAGGCTGGCCTTGAACTCACTATATACCTCAGGCTGGCCTCGAACTCTCAGTGATCCTCCTGCCTCAGCCTCCCAAGGGCTGAGATTCTAAGAGGGCACCACCATGCCTGTCCTAAACCCGACATTTAGAAAAAAATATTTAATAAAAATCTCCAATGAAGTATATTTTTCAAACCCTCTCTCATTCACACCCCAATTCTAGGGTTTGAACCCAGGGCTCCTTGCACGCTTAGATCGCTCTCTACTACTGAGCCATCCTCAGCCATTTGTTTTAAGTAGGTCTTTGTGGACCTACTACTACTCTATACGGCTGTAATTCTTTTCACCACTCCCAAACAACATATTCATTCTTCAGTCTAACACATAAGTGCCATTATGTACCACCTCCATACCTAAAAAACTATTTAGAAAAATAAAGGTTGTGATGATGTCTATATAAAAACACAAATACGAACCATTTTGTTAATACTGATATCTAAAGTTTGACTACTATTTATTAATATGCATCTCATCTTAAATGGGAAAAATATTCTACTAACCAAGTACCTGAAATGAATATTGTACATCTTTGAAAATGCACTCCACTACATTCCCATCCTTTTTTTTTTTTTTTTTTGGAGACAGGGTCTCACTAAGTTGCTAAACTGCACAGGCTGAACTTTAGCTTGTCATCCTCCTGCCTCAACCTCACTCTGAGATTATAGACATGCACTACCATATCCGGTTTTAATTTTAATTTATGTAGTAGGGCTGGGGATTTAACTCAGTGGTGCTGTGCCTGCTTCATAATTGCAAGGTCCTGAGTTTGACCCCCAGTACTGGAAAAAAAATTTTTTTTAATTTATGTAAATCATTATACAGTGCCAGACAGAATGCATAATAAACATTATCTGACATTTTTACCACACAGAGTTCTATGGGTTCAATATTCAAGATTCGTAAGGAATACAAACCTGCCTATAGTTTAAGAACTTATTTGCTCAGGTATATTTCAAAAATTTTCCAGTCAATATTTCTTCTCATTATATTAACTTTCTCTTTTCCACAATATGTATATTTCTTAAAGTTATAACTTATGACAATACTCTTAATAAGTAAGTGCATATCCCTATCTCCTGAGCAGTTACTGTGTAACTGTCATTATAAGCATCATATTCCTACATGGAACTCTGTGCGATAAACCTCATGGCAATCCTCCTGCCTCAGCCTCCCAAATACTGGGATTTCAGAAATGCGCTACTATGCCTGGCCTTAGCACTCCATTTCTATGTATTCCTAAAACTCTGAACTCTGCATACGTTAAGGACTCAAAAATAGTGGCATAATTTTTTTAATCCTATGTCAAAGAATTTTAACTCCTCCAAAACTGTCAAAGAATTTTAACTCCTCTAAAGATGTAATAAAAATTGTATTTAGCTTTCTTGAATTTTTTTCAGTCCTTATTTTTTTTATTTTTTTGTACCAGGGATCGAACTCGGGTCCTTGCACTTGCAGGGCAGGCAGCGGAACCACTGAGCTAAATCCCTGGCCCAGTTTTTGCATTCTTAACATTAATTTTACCCTTCTAAAATATTACATTTTATTACCACTTTCCTTATTGTTTAATTTAATCATATTGAACCTCTTCTTCATAAATGGTTTGCCCAAACACAATGTCTGTAAAAAACCACGACTTAACCCTACAGTTTCCCATCTTCTGGCTTTCTGATCCTTCACAATGTTTTAAACTAGTGTTCCACTTCCTTACCAACTCGTCCTAATGCTTCTCAAGTCCAACTTTACACTGTTGTACTCTACACAATCACTGCAGCCTCAAATCTCAAATGACCACTTCCTGATTCAACCCAAAGATCTGTTTTCTCTTTTTCGCCACTCTGATATATCAGACACTAGTGACCACATATACAGTGTCATTTAAGATCAAATGGCATAGTGCTCACTTCGGCAGCACATATACCAAAATTGGAAGATCAAATGACATAGCATTTCATTGTATTTCCATTTACAACTCTTTATTCCTTATCAGATATACAACCTCATTTACTGTTCAGGTTCGATTACCATTTTTACTTAGATTCCAATGTCTAGTCTACTCTCCCAACCTCTTTACAACACTGTACATCTGATACATGAAGGCTTCTCCAGTTGTACTACACAAGGATGAAAACTTAGTATGGTAAAAAAACAGAATCATCTTTCCCCACGAGAAAATTTTTTCTCACATTACTTTGCTGCATGTGACATGCATCCAGTTAGAACAAGAAAAACAAAAATAGAACATGTTTTTGTATAGAACAAATTTAATTGATATTTGCATCAATTAAAAAGTTTCTGAAGAAAATGGACAGTATTTTCACAATATACGTACAAAGTGTAGCTGTGCCTTTTAATATTCATTTTCAGCCTTCAATTTACAAAACCTGTAACATTTGGTGACCATTATCAGCTAAGATAGTTCCAACAGTCCTAAGCAAGCGGACAAGCCTAAGGTAAACAGTAAAACAAAATAAAAATTTTTATTTCTAATTTTATTTTTCATTATGAACTAAAAAACTGTAGTTGTAGTTATCTATGGGGTACAAAATGATACTTTTCTAACAAATACAATGTGAAATAAATCAAAGATAACACATCCATCACACCTCATTATATGTGTTGAAAACATCTGAAATCCACTCTCAGAAATCTGGAAATGAACAATTTCAGAACTTACTAAATTAGGGTGGAGACTTCCAGGAAGATGGCAGCGTAGTGAGCAGCAGAGAAATACACTCTCCAAGATTTGGTATCCAGACACTAGAATATAACAATGTGAGGAATACAAGAAGGAGGAAAGTGGGACCCTGGGATCCAGGAAAGATCTGAAGTGAGAATTAAAGGCCACAGGAAGAGCAAAAGAGAAATTTCAAGGAAGAAGGAGGTAGCAGGTGACACTTCCTCCCCAAGACCAGACTCACTGAATGGGAGGGGCAGCTTGAACCTGCAGATGCACTGTGACTACTGACAACCCCAGAGGCCTCAACAGAGAAACACACCAGTGGAACAGAGCAGTGGACAACACAGCCTGCAGTGGCTGGTGAGTTATTTGGGTTCAGACATCCCACAGGAGAAAGCAATTGGCCGGTAGCCATTTTGGTGAGGGGCCAAATGAGCTCAGGACTCAGAACAGATGTGACTCCATCTAGTGGCTCTATTTTATGGTTCCCAGTGTTGGTGAGGCTGCCAAGTTCAAGTCAGCAAAAGATCAGGGAGTCGAGTTCAAGCAAGCAGGAGGCATACAGACCTTTGCAGGCTCAAATCCAGATCCAGCCTCACAGCCAAAAACCAGCCTATACTTAAACTGGAACCAAAGGTACAGGCTTGCTGGGATTATCCACTACACTGTGGATCTGGACTCTTTCTGCCCACTCTATCTACCAATGACAGAAGAGACACACTTGAAGTACACTTTTTTTTACTTCTTATTTTCTTCTTTTTCTCTCTCTCTCTCTTTTCTGGTTTTTGTTTTTTCTTGTTCTTGATTTTATATGAGTGTGAACATGTCTTCTAGTTTTTTTGTTGTTCTATTGTTTGTTATTTCTTTCTTCTCTTTCCTTCCTGTCTTCTTCACCAGTTTCCCAAAGTTCGAGTTATCTTCCTTTGTCCTCCAGCCTTGCTTCTAATTTCTTCCTCTTCGTCTATTTCTCAATTATTTCCCCCATCCCCATTTAACTTTTCTCCCCTGAGGGTAAAATCACCATATTGAGGGCTTATTTACTGCATATAATTTTCTGGTTCATTTTAGATTTCGTTATATAACCACAAATCCAGTTCATATGGTATAAGGTGGCAAATTAGTATTTACCAGAGCTTGTCATTGTCTAGGCTGTGTTTGATGCTATTGTTATTGCTGACTGTACTATTTTGGCCAAGGTGACATAATTCTACTAATCAGCTGTTCTTCCTGATACACCAAGACTGAGATTGCCTAAGGGTCTTAAAAAATACTATAGTCCAGTGTCAAAAAACCAGAGGCTGGGCCAAGTAGGTAGCAACTTCTCATCTCAATAAATTGAAGAGGTAGGATCTTGCAACAGACTCAAAACCCAAAGCCAGCTACATCTGAAAGACATCTCTGAGACGTAGTCATTTCCTAAGAGTTCTCAATACTAGCAATAAAACTCCTTGCCGTAAGCAATTTACAACCATCAACTCAAAAATTAAACTCAAAAAAAGAAGACAGAAAATGAGAAGACACTCAAACAAGTTGCAAACACACACTTCCAGCTCACCAAAGGCAAACCCTAGGGGTAATGAGGTGGAACAATTCGAAAGCCACCCACCTGGAATAAAGGAACTGGTAACTGCAGAAGTTAAAAACCAGATGAATAAGGCTCTAAAAAAATTAAATCAGAAATAATCTCTTGGATAACTACAGACAGTGACCATAATGAAAGACATGCTTTGTAACTGTAGAGCAGATTCAGATTAAAAAAAAAAAAAATAGAGGACCTTAGAAAATGGAGAAACCATGAATGCCCAACATAGGAAAGAAATGAAATCCATGAAACAAATTCAAAACAGATACCTAGGAGATTTAAAATTCCACTGAAAGTAGGGCCGGGGATTTAGCTCAGTGGCATTACACCTGCCTAGCAGTGCAAAGTCCTGAGTTCGATCCCTATTACCAGTAAATAAATAAATAAATAAATAAATAAATAAATAAAAATTTCCACTGCAAGTATACACAGCAGAATGAGCCAATGTGAGGACAGAATATCAGACAGAGAAGACAGGATTGCAGTTAGCGACCATGAAAGGAAAGATTTCTTAAAAATAGCAAGGGACCATGAAAAATCAATTCAACAGCTGCTAGATATGCAAAGTAGAATGATGTAAGATTGATCAGAGTCAGCTGGGGATATAGCTCAGTGGCGCTACATCTGCCTGGCAAGCACAAGGTCGAGTTCCATCCCCC